GAATTACAGGTATAACGTTGTGGAATTCAATCCCAGCACCACCCCACAAGCTCTGTATGTTGAGTGTGATCCCGATGGCACTGCTGTCTGTCATCACAAGTGCCACAACAAAATAAAGTGTGCGATCGCTGGCATACCACAACTAAAGTGATGGCTGGCAGTGTTCATATAAAGCCCTTCTTTGCCACAGAAAGGGAAAGGGTGAAGTTTGCACATTTTCCATTGCTCTACTTCTTTCTAATATGAAATTCCAAACTGAGAACAAAAACGTATGCCCAAATTTTATTATTTCTTTTTGGTTTGAGAACCTTACCTGGTTCTGTGCTCATGGGCCATTTCTTTCAGTCACCTGATCACTTGACATCCCGCTACTCATTGATTTGCTCGAGCGGGAGTCAGTAACACCTCCATTCATCCCAGGCACGTGCTAGTATAGACCACTACACTTTCAGTACCCAGGGAATAATCGTGGTGCTGGGATATGAACCGTAGTCAAGATCACAGCCACCTGCTAAGCAAGCACCTTAACCTTTGCACTATCTCCACAGCCATGGCCAGAATTTAAAATGCAATAATCAGACAATCTTAAGTAAGTGAAGAAAACATACATCCAGCGCTAGAGAGATAGTAAGGGAGGTAGGGAGCTTGCCTTGCATGTGGCCAACCTGGCTTCAAACCCCAGCAATCCCATATGGTTCCCTGAGCCGCACCAGGAATGATCCTTGAGCACAGAGCCAGGAGTAAGCCCTAAGCACAGCTGGGTATGTCCCTCCCACAAAAAGGGAGGAAAAACATACATCCTCGAAACTTTTTTTATTCAGACTATAATGTTAAGTTACTTCAACTGTGTTGTTGTACTAAGGCCTAATAAACAGTGATATGCACAATATAATCTCAAATTATGAAAGGGGAAGACTATAATAAAGCAAACTGTAGGCCAGGAAGATAGTACAGGGATTTGTGCCTGATCCATGTTCTGGAACCTGATGGCCTCCACACCTCAAAGGGTAGGTCCTGGTGGTCCCAGTTCACCTCTTAGGGGTGGGATGTGGGGGGGAATTGGTAGTCCTCAGCACCAAAATTCCAAAGCAGTACCTCAGCCTTAAGCCCTAGCACTGAATCAAGTGAAGAGGCCACTGAGAACCCCTTGACAGATTCATCCCTCTCCTCCCAGTGAAAGAAAGCAAACTCTTGGGGTCCGAGAGATAGTGCGGTGGGGAATGTGCTTGCCATGCATGCAGCCGACCTGGGTTCAATTCCTGACACCCCAGATGGTCTCCAGAGAACCACCAGGAGTGATCTCGGAGTGCAAAGGCAGGATCTGAGTAGTGTGGCCCAAACACAAAAAAAAATAAACAAGCAAAGTGTTGCTAGGTTTTCCTTACCTTCCAATTTTTTAAGACAAAAAAACAAAAAACTACTTTCATAGTCAAAAAAAGCATTTTCTATGGGGTAGAGAGATAATCCGAAGGGTTAATATGTTTGCTTTTCCTGCAGGAATTGGGGTTAGATCCCCAGCACTGCAAGATCCCTAAAAAAAGCATTCACTAATTCACTATAATAACAGCTGAGGTTAAGACAAGTTCATTGAACTGTCTTTAGGAACTGGCTTTAGGAAGCGGAACATATTAAGCAGCAGGGAAGAATAAAACTCTTATAGCCTGTATCCCAAATTTAGGGTTTTCCATCCTATCTCAGGTTCTCCCAAAGAATTATTTCCTGTTTTCTATTTCTAATTTTTGTTTTTGGGCCACATCCAACAGTGCTCAGGGATAACTCCCAATCTCCGTACTACAAATTACTCCCAGTCATGCTCTGGGGACCATATGGAATGCCGTGGATCAAACCTGCATGAATTGCATGCAAGGCAAGTGCCCCACACAGCATACTGTCTCGCCAATCCATTTCCCATTTCTAAATTCTACTTATACCAAATCCCCCATACCTGAAATACTTTTTTAAAAATTTTTATTAGTGATACACCATGAGGTACAGTTGTAGACATACAAGTTTTTGTGCTTGGGTTTCAATCATACAATGACCAAATACCCATCCCTCCACCAGTGTCCATTTCCAACCACCACAGATCCCAGTATCCCTCCCACCCCCCCATCCCCCCCATCCCACCCTGCCTCTGTGGCAGGGCATTCCCTGTTGTTCTCTCTCTCCTATTGGGTGTTGTGCATACCTGAAATACTTAAGTCTAAAAATGGAAACCGTATTGTTAAAACGCTGTTTAAAAAATACTATAAAGCAGGAGCTGGAGCAACAGAATAGAATACAGCCAACCCAGGTTTGATCCCCAGCACCCCAGATGATCCCCCATGCCAGCCAGAAGTGATCCCTGGAAAGGAGTAAGCCCTAAGCACAGGCCCCAAGTGTGGTCCAAAACCAAACAAAAAATTACAATAAAACATAAAAATATGGATGCCAGAGAGATGGCAGAGTGGGTAGGGCACTGGCCTTGCATGGAGCCAACCCAGACTCAATCCCTGGCACCCCATAAGGTGCTCCAAGCCCACTATGAGTGATTCCTGAGAAGATCCAGAAATTAGCCTTGAGCTCTGGTGGGTGTGGCTCAAAGCCTCCACAACCAAAACACAAAAATATGATACATGCTTATTTAAAAAAAAAATAACGTTCGACTTGTAAACTCTTTGTGTGAACATTTTAAGAAATTAATGAAATGAGTTATGAGATTACAACCTTCTCATGAGTCATAACTATAGCAGTATGCAGTAAGTGGTGTGTAGTCTTTATAGGCTACAAAAACCAGGCTGGTAAAAGGTAAGGCAACCTGTGGAGCCAATTAATTAAAAAAAAAAAAAAAAGAAGTAGGGACTGGAGTGATAGTACAGCCAATATGTCACTTGCCTGGCATTCAGCCCAACCAGCACGAGTTTGATCTTTGCACCACGTATGACACCCCCCCCCCCCCCCAAAATCCCTCCAGGAGTGATCTCAAAGAACAAAGCCAGGGATAAGTCTTGAGCAACACCGGGTGGATACCCCGCCAAAAAGAAAAAGAGTAAAATAACAAAGTGTACCTAACCACCACATTCCAAAGAATTTTTGCAAATCATCTAAAACAAATTCAGATTATAAATTTAAAACCCAGACGAATCTGAACCCTCTATGCTGCAAGATAAGCCAAGAAATGGGTTTCACTTGTATCAGGGCAGACTGATAAGAGTATATTACCAGCAAACAACTGGCTCGTGGAGATAACATTCAGCATGAAAAAAAAAAAAGTGATCAATTCCACAGTCAACACTCAATTCCAACTTGGCACAAAATCTATAACAGAGGTGCCATCCAGGAATAGAGGAATCGAGTTCCTTCCTTTGTCCTTCTGGAGCTGTATTGTCAAGGTGAAAAAAGAATAAAAAGAAAAAAGAAAAAACATCTGGGCCAGAGCAACAGTGTAGGGGGTAGAGCATTACCCTTCGCAAGCAGCAGAACAGGGTTGCATCTCTGGCATCCCATATGGTCCCCAAAGAATGCCAGGAGTTATCCCTGAGTATTGTGGATGTGGCCCCAAAACAAACCAAAGCACAAGTATGTGGGAGTGTGAAGGGTAGGTAAGATAGAGAAGGGACTAATGACAATAACAGTTGTAAATAATCACACTGGACAAGAACTGTTTAAGTAGGTAAAGGGATACACATGATAACCTTTCAGTATCTGTATTGCAAACCCCAATGCCCAAAAGGAGAGGTAGGGAGAGAGGGAAGAAAGGGGGGAGTCGGTGAGGGGGGAGGAGAGAGAGAGAGAGAGAGAGAGAGAGAGAGAGAGAGAGAGAGAAGTGCCTGAATAGAGACAAGTGTTGGAGGGGGAGTGAAGGATGATGGGAGGGAAACTTGGGAAACTGGTGCTGGGAAATGTGGATGGAGGGATGGGGGCTGGAACACTGTATGATGGAAAGCTAATCATGAATTGCTTTGTAAGGGTCGATCTCGCTGTGATTCAATTTTTTAAAACATCTATTTTTCAAATATAGATACCACCTTCAATCGAGGTGGTATCCACTGTCGTCTTGAATCCATCAAATGTGCAAAAAAATAAATAAATAAAAAGGCTTTGAGATTTGAGATGAGTATGACACAGGTGAGAATCCCCACCAACATGCTTTTTTAAGGTAAGTAATTTTGCTCCTCCGCTTAGAAAAAAAAAAAAAAAGAGGGTTACGTCTTCCTCGGTTCTTTTTACTGACTTATTTCTCTTCTGCTTGAGAACACCACCAGCATCTCATCCCCAAGGCACAGAACACAGGGCTCTTATTTTGATGCGCTCTGGGGGGCCCAGTCCGCAGCCGGCGGCGGCTTGGCGGTCACGGGGCCCCGGACAGGCGCCCCCCGCCCCCGCCCCCAGCCAGCATCACACACCCGCGCACGGTGACAGCGGCGGAAGCCACGACCCCCGGCACGCGGACAAGCCAAGGGCCGTTCAGCATCTCCGGAAGAAAAAAAACCATCCATTTCCTTCCCGAGCTTGCAGAGCCCCAGCAGTCAGTCTGTCTGTCTACTGGGTATATTTTGGCCTTTTCCAAAAAAAAATAAAATAAATAAAATAAAATTCTTTCCTTTTTTTTTTAAACCCCTCCTGAATTTTTTTTGACCCCCAAAGAGGTTTGCTTTCCCCCCACCCCCACCCCAGGGAGAAGAAACACCCCAAGCTTAGGAGCGCCAAGCCCGCTCAGACCACCCCGCTTCCCTCGCCGCGCTGAGTCCGCCCCAGGGCGCCCCGGCGCTGCCGCGACCACCCGGCGCCCGCGCGAAGGCGGCGGCCGCCCACGTCCGGGACCCGGCGCGCCGCTCCCGGCCCACCGCAGCGCAGGCCCGCGAGGCCCGCGGGAGGCTGCGGCGGCCCGGAACGACGCGGCCCCGGCCGGCTGGGAGGAGGAGGCGGCGGCGGCCACCTGGGCCGCGCCGGGCACCTGCGACCGGTCGCCGCCGATCCAGGCCCCCCTGGCGCTCCGCCCGCCGCCCGCCGCTCCTCACCTGCGGGCTGTCCTCCAGCGTCTCCTCGATGGGCAACTTGTCGATCCCCGGCATCGTGGCGGAGGGAGGGAGGGAGGGCGGCGGCAGGAGACGCCCAGACCCGCCGCAGCGCTCGGCACTAGCCCGCCCGCAGCAGCTGACCGCGGCCCGCCCGCTCCCCGCAGCCTCCGCCGCCTCCGCGCCCCGCAGCCCCAGCCTGGCGCAGTGACCGCGCGGGAAATCCCGCCCCCCGGGCCGCCCGTCCCGCCTCCCGCTGCTCCTATTGGCTGGTGGAGACGTCCTTCAGCGCAGCGGGGCCGATCCGGAGGGTCGTTCGCGGCGCCGGGCTCTGCGGCGAACGTTCACCCTCCCCCACCCCCCCTCCAGAGGCTGCGGAGCCTGCGCTTGGGGGACGCGCTGCGGCGTTTCTGCGCGCGCGACTGAGGCTCGCAGACCCGAGAGAGGGGAGCCGGGAGCGCCCGGGGCGGGGCGGGGCGCGAGCGCGTCTCTCTCACACGTCGGGGGTTTGGTTTTGCTTTTCTTGGAAGCGACCCTCCTGCCGCCGCCTTTCTTGAGTTGATCAAATTCTAAGCCTCCAAGCCTCGGTTCCCCCACCCACCCACCCACCCACCTCCGGCAGAACGGGGCTGGTTGGCGGCGGTTTGTGAGGGTCCAAGCGGTGTCAGGAACGGGGCCTGCTGCAGAGTGCTGTGCAAAAGTAGCAAAGCAGCACTGTCCTCCTGTTGTTCGTGATTTGCTCCAGCGGGCCCAGTAACGTCTCCATCGGGAGACTTGCTGTTACGGTGTTTGGCATATCCCAGAGGTCCGGGGGAGCTTGCCAGGCTTTGCCCTGAGGGCGAGATACTCTGGGTAGCCTGCGGGGCTCCCTGAGAGCGGCGCGGGAATCGAACCTGGGGGAGGAGGAATCGAACCTGGCTTGGCTGGGTCAGCCGCCTGCGAGGCAAAGGCCCGACCCGCTGTGCTATCCCAGTGCACGGTAGACCCAGAATTCTATGTTCCCGGGCACATGGGCATCAAAGCGTGTAGCTTAAAATATGTGACTTTTCACCAGGACAACGAGTTTAATGAACATTGACCTCCCCCAGCCCCTTCCCTTTTGTTGTTGTTGTTGTTGTTTGGGGGGGAGGGTTGGGCCACACCCTGATGTGCTCAGGGCTTCCCCCCCCTCTTTAAAGTTTGAGCTCTGTGATCCAGATTAAATATTAATACCTATTTACGGTTTATTTTGTTGGGGTTTTTTTTTCCCCGTTTTATCTGGAAAGTGATGGAAAAAAATGTTAATGTGTGACCTTGTTACCAATTTCTAGATTCTTATTTGATCTTGAAGCACTGACAGAACAATTCAGACCTCCAGATTTCTCTTAAATCACAAATTAAGACATCATTTAAAAATTTGCAGATAGTACAAGGGTTAAATGTGTTTACCTTGCATGCCACTGAATCCCAAACACATATCACATCACAGGAGTGTGATCCCAGAGCACATAGCCAGGGATAGGCCCTGGGACACAGCAGACTCAATTTACCCATCCTCCCTTCCCAAATCTGGATACAGGACTGGGCTGAGCCCGTGTTTTGTATGTGGTAACCCAGGGTTCCAGGCCTTGCATCTCATGGTTCCCTAAGAACTGAGCTGGGAGTCACTCCTGAGAGTGGTGTCACTGGGTCAGCGGGTGCGGCCCAAAAGTGAACAAAAAATCTGGATACACTGGTTCTGTTAGTAACTGATTAGCAGTTCTGGTATTCTAAACCATTTGGAAGAAGCTTTGATTCACTTCAACTTCTTACTTTGCAAATCAAAAAAAAAAAAAAAAAACTTGGCTTCCCAAACTGGATTTGAACTTGGGCCTCTTGGTCTATCTTCCCCAACCTCACATTGCTTGTTTATATCACACTTATTTATTTTTCTGTAGGGTTATAAGATGGTTTCATCAGTATACGAAGAAAATAGTAAAGTGTTCTGAAAATCTTGCCCTCAATCCCACAAAGTCATCCCAGTTTTAATCAAGAAATACACGGGATGCTGAGTTGTCTGGCTCCACATTGGAGGCAGTTAGTTACATTGGAATAATGTCATAATAGAAGAAATTCAAAAACAGTAACAAAGGCAAGTTGCATGGATTAAATGCTAGCTGTCATCTTCCCCCCCCACACACACACCCAAAAAAATCTCTTTTTTTTAATATATTACTAATGTGCATTAGTTGGATGCACATGGGTTGGAGCGATAGCACAGCGGGTAGGGCGTTCGCCTTACAAGCGGCCAACATGGCCGACCCGAGTTTGATTCCTCCGCCCCTCTCGGAGAGCCCAGCAAGCTACCGAGAGTATTCGATATGCCAGACACAGTAACAACAAAGTCTCCAATGGAGACGTTACTGGGCCCGCTCGAGCAAATCGACGATCAACGGGAGGGCCTTTACCTTTACCTTTACCTTTACCTTACTAATGTGCATAGTTACGGTATCTTCACCACCAGAGTGTCCCAGACCCTTTGTCCTTATATCACTTCTAATCTCACTTTCATTTCCTCTCCCCCCCCCCCCCCCACTTCTTGGTAATCTCAGTTCTGTAGTAAAAGGCCAGGGATTTGTTATATGATGCTGACTATTCTCTTGTTTTATTTCTCTATCGCAGATGAATGAGATCATCTGATATTTGTTCTCTCACTCTGACTTATTTTGCTTGTTGTTATACCCTCCAGCTCTATCCACAATGTATCAAGCTGCGTGATTTTTAATAGCTGCATAATACTCCATTATGTACATATACCACAATTTCTTTATTCATTCATCTGTAGTTGAACATTTGGGGATTTCTATGTCCTGCCTATTGTACTTAGCACCACAATGAATATAGATGGGCATATATCTTTTTGAATTAGTGTTTTTATATTTCTGTGTAGATGCCAGGAAGTGGAATTGCTAGGACATATGGAAACTCTATTCTTACTCTCCCCCTCCTCCCCCCTGAGGAAATACTTTGTTTTTATTTTTCTGTTTTATTTAGGCACCATGATTTACAAAATTCATAGCTGAGTTTCAGGTTTACAATTTTCCCACACCTATCCCATCACTAATGTCAACTTACTTCCGCTGATATTAACAGCTATAGTGATCAAAATAGAATTGGAGAAAATTTTCTTACTTTTTTGAGATGTCTCCATACTATTTTCAACAGAATCTAAACCAGGCAACCTTCCCACCAATAGTGAATGAGGGTTTCTTTTTGACCATATCCCCTCCAACACTGGGATTGTTTTTGGTCTTTCTGATCTATGCCATTCTCATTGGTGTAAGATGATAGCTCATTGTCATTTTTGTTTTGCACTTACCTAATAAGTGACAATTAGCACCTTTTCACATATGCATTGGCCATCTGTATATAGTCTTCAGAGAAGGGTCTGTTCATCTCCTCTTCATTTTTTGAGGAGGTTATAATTTTTTTTTGCGATTGAGATTTGTTAGTGTTTTATATCTCCTGGATAGCCCTTTGTGTGGTATATGATGTGAGAATATTTTCTCCCATTCAGTAGGTTTTTTTTTAATTTCAGTCCAGGTTTCTTTTGCCAGGCAAAACATATTTAGTTAGGTATAGTTCTATTTATTTTTATTTTTGACATATTTTCCAATGGAGTCAAAACATTAATGATACCTCTCAAGTCTACATTCTAGAAGTTCTGCCTTTGTTTTCCTCATTGTATTTATGGATTTTGGTCCAATCTTTTAGTCTTTAATTCACATTGAATTAACTTTTGTGTAGCCCATGATCTCTTTTTTTCTTGGGAGGGGGCATACCAGCAGTGCTCAGAGGTCACTCATGGCTCTGCACTCAGGAATCACTTTTGGCTGTGCTTAGGAGACCAGGTGGAGTGCCAGGAGTTGGGTCAACTACATGCAAGGCAAACATCCTACATGTTATTCTATCTCTCTGACCTCCCATGATCTCTTAAAAGTAAATTTTTTACAAGATAGATGTCAATTTCACAGAATTATCTTTAATATTCCAAGCTTTCAATAAACGTTCTCTCTTTGGGTTGTTAATGGAATAATTATCACCTGCAGAAAGTCATGTTTAGATCTTGAAAGGCGAAATCAGGCCACAGAGATAGTACAATAGGTAGGGTATTTGTCTTGCATGCAGCCAACCCAGACTTGTTCCCTGGCACCTTATTTGGCTCTCTGAGCACTGCCAGGAATGATCCCTGAACACAGAGCCAGTCATCCCTAAGCACAGTGTGCCTCCACCCTAATTAAAAATATTTATATATAGATGGGGTGGGGGGTTGTTGTCATTGCTAGGGATAGGACCAGGGTCTCACATATGTGAAACAAGTGCTCTTTCTCATGCCCTATATCATACCCATCCCAGCTGTAAGAATGTACATGACATCATAGAGCTCTCAACAACGCTTTAATATTTCTCTTTTCTGTCAGCATGGCTGCATGCATCCTGAATGGATGTAGAGAAAGAAGCCTTTCAAGGTAAGTCAACTTCTTGGTTGAATTGTGCTTTAGGCTCTAAGTAAAGAGAAAAAGATGACAGCAACTGATATGAATAATGAGCAACTGACAAGAGAAAACAGTGTTTAAAAAAGGAAAGAATTGTATGGTGTGAATGTAAGCTTGGCCAAACCAAATGATTTCAATGAAGAACTCTATTAGGTATCTGAACTATTTGAATCACATCTTATCAAGTCCTTCTTTGGGTTGGAGGTGTAGCCCTGCGGTGGAACACATGCCTTGAGTATGTAGGTTCTGGCTTCGCAAAAGGGGAAAAAGGAAAAAGTTTTCTTCTTTGTATGTTATGAGCATCTAAAATGTATTTTTGTAAAGGATTCTCAAGAGGCTAGTGTGTCATCAGAGAATAGGGAGAGATTCTTTTTAGACTCAATTGGTTATAAAAACAAACACAAATAAGTTAATATTCAATTTGATGGGAGGCAATTTAGTCAATTATAGAACAAAAAAAATTTAATGCCTTCTATTTAAATCCAGTAGCTTTAGGGTATTGTTCACTGTTGATTTTTAAAAATCATTGTAACTCCTATTTTAAAACTTTATAATGCTACAGAATTCAGTCTTCTTTAATAACCAAAGTCTAAACTCTATGCAGTTACGGTCCAAAGTGATACTACAGTGGGTGGGTCCTTGCACATGGCCAACCAGGTTCAATTC